TATTTATAAGAATAAAATAACTGCCTGTAGCTCATTTTAGTTTACAAGTCCTTCACACATACATTAGATCATTTGGGTTTCAAAATCACCTTGAGTATTGGTGCTCCTAACTATCATTGCTGCTAACAAACCATCCCACAACTTAGAGACATAAAACGTTAGCTGTAAGTCAGGAATTTGGCTGAGGTACAGTGGCAATGGCTTTGCCTCCGCATCGTGGTGTTTGGGTCCTGTAGCAGCAGATGGCTAGAATAGCTGGGCAGGGCTGAATCAACTGGGTTTTGGCCACTTTGCTATCCTGGCTGACATTTGAACTGGATAGCTAGTAGGCTATGTGACTGTTCCTTTGTGGTGGTCTCAGGGAGTCTTCATATGACTTCTTACAGTGTCTCTGCAGGGGAAGTTGTATGACTTTTAGGACTCAACCTTAGAAGTCACCTAACAGACAATTTCCCCCATTCTCTGCTGGTGAAGTAGTCCATCACAAACCTGCCCAGATTCAATGGAAGGAGATAAAGACCATACTTCTCCTGTGAGGCATATCAGAGTTGGGAGGCCATGGTTTGAAACCACCACACTCGTATTCTTCCCTAATTCTAGATGAGAAAACAGAGCCAATCAGAGCTAAATGATTTGCTCAAAGTCAGTTGTATAGATAATAATTTTGCTAGTATGTATGTATATAAGGGGGAGGGGAGAAGGGCTTCTGACCTCATTCTCTGACTCCAAATTCTTGATTTTCTGTTAGATTCTTCAGACTCTTATAGCTAAGATATACTTGCTCATATGTGAAAGCTCAAAGAAAAAGAATTTAACTGACTTTGGTTAGATCCAGCAACTTTCCTAAAACTAGACTGAGTTATGAAGTATAAGGTTGGCACTTAAATGAGCGTATTGTTCTTATTATGTGCTGTGGAGTTGGTTCCGACTCATAGTGACCCTGTACAGGGTTTCTGAGGCTGTAAATCTTTACCGGAGCAGAAAGCCTCGTCTTTTTCCCGCAGAACAGCTTGTAGTTTCGAACTGCTGACCCTGAGGTTAGCAGCCCGATTCGTAACCACTACGCGACCAGAGTTCCTTTAAATGAGCTTACACATAACTATATTTTATGAAAGTCTTGAGATGAGTTTGGTCCTTGTCTAATTTTCTCACAAGGAACAATCTCCTAGATGTGTAACTCTGATTTCATTTGCCTTCTAGGAAAATCTCACCTGGCCATTGTCCAGCGAGTGAATAACGAGGGGGAAGGGGACCCCTTCTATGAGGTGATGGGCATCGTCACATTGGAGGACATCATAGAGGAGATCATCAAGTCAGAAATCCTGGATGAAACTGATCTCTACAGTAAGCACTCAGCCTTTGCGATTGTCCAGGTTACCCTGTGTTCCTCTGACACTCAGAGGTGCTTGGTTTGATGTATAGCATGAAAGAGTGTCACCACAAGCCCCATGCGCATCTTTGTCAGCCACCTAATGCCGGCTGCTAGCATGTCAGGATACCCTGGGTTCCTGAGCACATGCTCACTGAAGGTTGGTCAGGAGGGAACTTTCAGGAACTGAGACAGGATACCTCTTGGCCATTCGATCACAGGCCCCTGGGGTTTGAACACATCCACCCATCAGCACCATGAAAGAAAGGCTTGGTGGTCAGCATTCATAAAGAACACGGTCGTTGAAAACCTCATGAAGCACAGTTTTGGTGTATAACGTATGGGATCACCATAAGTCAGAAATTAATCTACAGCAATGCGTTTGTTTTATTTTGGGTTTATTTTGACCATGGGGTGCAAAAAGGAAGCCAAGTGTAAGTCAGATGGTGACCAGAGGCATCTCTGTCCTTGTGTCTGTCCCCCTGTGTTCTTGTTTGGTCTCTTTGTCCACCTAGATACAGGTCCCAGCGCCACCTGGGGTTCCACTGCCCATCCACTCACCAAAACCTAAGTGAGCAATGGTGAATACCCCCCGACAACCTACATCCAAAGCATACTGTCCCTTTAAGCTCTTGTCCCTGCTCCTTTCTTGCCATGCCTCAGGCTCCTGCTTACTCCCCCTCAGTACAGTGTGGGCTCCTCTCTGCTAACAGTGACTCGATTTTGGTTCCTGAGCCTTAGCCAAGCTTTGCTTGCAAACGTTACAAAGGCATTCTTTGTCTCTGGGATGGGAGTGTTATACAAATTCAGGGAAATCCTAGGCCATGAGTGTTTCCTCCTCAGAATCTCATCTAATGGGGCAACGATCCCAACTCCTCCCCTCAGATAACTCAGTTCAGACCTTTGGTTTGCTAGAAGCAGTTTTCCAGAAGCTGGCTCCTGGTAGAAAAAGCTTTGATACTGTCAGACAGTGAGCTGTGCAGAATGGCTGTTCCCTTTGGATTAAATAGGCATCAAAGTAAAAGGCGGGCCAAGCCTTGACAACAAATAATGGGAGTGCCACAGAGCCTGCCTCCAGGTGGTTCTGTGTCTTCTTCATCAATCAGGGAGCAAGCCCAGAAATGTCACCTCCTTCCCGAAGCCATTCTCCCTCCCCTGCCTCTGTCCACCAACTACTCTTGGCTTAGAATCTCCATCTCACACCAAGGTGGCAGTAGGTGATAATAGTCTATCTAAATGGGCAAACTCCTCCCAGGGTCTTTGTTTTAACAACCTTACTGCTCCAAACACCCACTATTAAAACCTAAAAAGGAATGATTCTCTAATGTTGACATTTTAAGTAGCATTCTGAAGAGGGAAAGGAAGGGGGTTATTTAGGCAAACATGTCATCCAGATGAGAAGGTTGCTCCTAAAGAAAAGCCAAAGAACTGGGTCTGGTGGCTGCATTTGCTACTCTATTGCTGAGCAATCTTTTTTGTAAAGGAGAGAGTTAGAGTTTTGTCCACCCTGATAAGAAGTTTCTGGCATGATTCCTTAAGAACTGTGCAAAGGTGGAGGAGCCAGGAATATGGGATGCCTGACCCACAGTATACCTGGGTCTGGATCGTGCTGAGGGGAGGGCTGGGAGCTGTGGAAAGGGACTGTTCAAGCAGGGACCGGATGACTGAGAAGGTCTCCAAGTCAAGAAGAACCACTCGGTGGCAAGGCACTTTGCCTTGAGAGAATCCCAGAGGGTCTGGCAGAAGTCAGCTCTGGAAGGAGAGGGTCCTGTTTCTCTGTTCCTGGGATGCACTCTCTCCACTTCCATTGTGTCTACTCAGCCTTCCCAGCTTCCCTAGTTTTCTCCAGGCCAAGTTTGGAGCAAGAAAAAAAAAACACATTTAGTTGGAGAAAGCAATTTTCTCAACCAATAATCACATGTCCAATACTTAGGCTTTATAGTGGCAAGCCCTGCCTGAGGTCACCACCCAGACAGCTCCCACCTTTATAGATTGCAGGACTGTTCCTGTTTCTGTCCCTTTTTTCTACTCTTTATTTCCCCTGAGTGTCTCTCAGCGGAAGGGCTGGGACAGAAGCAGGAGAATTGTGGGTAGTAAGAGGAAGTGACTGCTCACCGACTTGGGTGGCACGCTTCCAGGTACTGCTCAGAGCATGGTGTAAGCAAGAAGAGACCAGATGATCCCAGCTCTGGGGTCAGGGGTGAGACAGAGGTAGACACACCCTGGGTCCCACCAAACTCTTAATTAAAGTGTGATTGTTAAATAAATGGCCTACTGATGTGGTGTAGTAGGATCAGCACTGGACTGCTAACTACAAAGTCGGCAGTTCAAACCCGCCAACCACTCCTCAGAAATGTTATACAGGGTCACTTTGAGTTGGAACCAATTCACAGCACTTAAAACAATAATAATAACAAAACAGCTTTTTATAGATTAAAACAAAATTTCTAATGCTTAGAGCCATTGTACACTATTAAGTAGGGGAGCCAGTCCTAAGACTTGGCTTTGGGTTCTCCCTTTCCACTGTGTGTTTCAGTGTGAGGATCACTGAAACCTTTATAACCCATCACCCAGCTTCAAGCCCTTGTCAGTGTCCTTCCACTCCCTGGGAAGGAGGTGCTATGATGTCACCTAGAGTCGACACTTCCTGTGGTCCCAGAGGAGCTCTCGGTCCTGTGTGTCTCTTGGAGAACCTCCAGTGACTCTGAGAGAGCTGCCACCTGTCCTTTGTGATCCTGCAGCCGACAACCGGAAAAAGCAGAGGGTCCCGCACCGGGAGAGGAAGCGACATGACTTCTCCTTGTTCAGGCTTTCGGACTCAGAAATGAGGGTGAAGATCTCGCCGCAGCTTCTGCTAGCCACACACCGCTTCATGGCTACAGGTATGGCTCTGCCCACCTGACTCCACCAGGGCAGCCAGCATCACTTCTCTACTCTGTGTGCCTGTTCAGATCACTCAGGAAACTTTTCAAAGAGACAAGTGCCCATGTTTCACCTCAGATCACTCCCAGGGTAGAACCAGGACTGAGAACGGTTGCTCTAGGAGAGACAGAGCACGAAGATGCCACATACTCCTTCCTCACAGACCTGATGTTCTAGCTGTTGTTGTTTAGTGCCATTGAATGGGTTCCAACTCATAGCTACCCTGTCTGTATAGGGTTTATGAGGAGCAATGGGTGAATTTGAACAGAAGTCCATATATGAGTTATAAGTTCCTAAAATATAGACGTTTGTGCATCTTTAGAAAGTAGAAAAGATGAGTAGATCCAAAAATAAATGTATCCATGATGCTTGTCTTTAAACCCTCTCACCTTCTGGCCCATGCTCATGTTCTGGCCTAAATGCTTGTGCCCATCATTAAGTGCATCGGTAATAATATTCAGTAGTTAATGTTAGTGTTCACTACTTAATCCATCATATCGTTAGTGAGTATCTAATAAATGCTAACATGGTTCTAGCTGTTAGACAGCTGAAAATTTTAAATGAAAGCCTTTGTTTTTCAAAGCTTTATTATGAATTGAGTGATAGTTTACATAGCAGAACATCGGTTTTTTACTCAGCCAATTGTACTTTGTTTCATTGCAATGATTACAATCCCCTCCATCAGTTAACAATCAATATGATTTGCTTTTTTTAGATGTACATAAAACCACGCAAGAATATAAAATCGTTTAAACAACCAAAGGGCACATTTTGCAAGCCTACCTCTTGGCCACCAGCACACAACCTGTCTCTTTCCATGAGTCTAGAGTCCTCAGCTGCTCTCTCTCTCTCCATGTCCTCATCTCTGCCTCCACTTCTGGTGTGACTCCTTCTCTGGATAGGGCCCCCAAGTTCCCCTCATGCTCTTCTCCCTTGATGGTCCTAGGGTCCTCTGTTCCTGGACTGTAAGATTAACTACTCCCCACTTTTGTTATACAATTTCTACCTTTACAGTTGTGACCATCACAATTAGTCATGATAACAATTACTCACTGTAGAATCGAGAGCCTTTGTAAAGTAGGGTTTTTCTCATGTTCTCCAGTTCTGAACACTGATAATTCTCTAACTCCTGGCTGTCTGATTCCCCAAGCAAGGCAGCTGTATCTATAGTATAGACTAGAATGTAGTATAACATAGAATATAGAGCTCTGTTAGCATATGATAATATCTATTAATATATAGAGGTCCTGGTGTGACACTGTAGGATAAACACTGGACTGCTAACTGCAGCGTTGGTGGTTCACACCCATCAGTCACTCCTGAGGAAACCCTATACAGGATCGCTATGAGTCAGAAGTGACTTGACATCACTTAACAACATTAACATATAATAATGTGTTAATGTGCAATATATGCAACAATGCTTCACACTATTGACAGCTTATCACGTAAATGATTAACTCTGGATTTCATATCATTCAACAGACATTTGTCATGTAAATAGGTCAGACCAAGTTGTCTGAATTTTATTTAATTATGGTGTTATTTGATTAAGCTCCTTGTTATTATGAACTTAATTATCCATGTTGTTGTTGTTAGGTGCCATCGAATTGGTACTGACTCATAGCAACCCTATGCACAGCAGAATGAAACACTGCCCGATCCTGGGCCAACCTCACTATTGGTGCCACGCTTGAGCCCATCGATGCTGCCACTTTGCCAACCCATCTCACTGGAGGTCTTCCTCTTCTTCTCTGACCCTCCACCCTTTCAAACATGATCTCCTTCTCCAGAGACTGGTCCCTCCTGACAATATGTCCGAAGTATGAGAGACGAAGTTTAGCCATCCTGACCTCCAAGGAGCATGGCCACTTTGAGATGATACTATAGAGAAAAGCGTTGAGGAAGTTGGCATTACCTAAGTGGTGACTGTCTCTCCTAAGGCCTCAGCACAGGAACCACACCCCCCAAGGGCAGAGGGAGCACCCTTGGGCTTCAGATGCCCCACCCTGAGGGGATCACAGAAGTCTTGTCAGCTTGGTGCTCCAGGAGTGTGTGTGGAAGTAGTGTTCCATACACCACCGATTGTGCCCATCCTGGCTTTTCCCAGCTGCCATGCTGGAGTGGGTGGGACCCAGGAGGTGCCGATTTCTTCTTGCCTCCCACTTTCCCCTAGAAGTGGAACCCTTTAAGTCTCTGTACCTTTCGGAGAAGATCCTGCTCCGGCTCTTAAAACATCCCAACGTGGTCCAGGAGCTGAAGTTTGATGAGAAGAACAAGAAGGCCCCAGAACACTACCTCTATCAGCGCAACCGCCCCGTGGACTTCTTTGTACTGCTTCTACAGGTAGGAGAGTAGGACAGCCAGTGGGGTGTCTGTGGGCAAGACTGGGGCCTCTCCAGCTGGAGGAAGGATGGGGCTGTGCCTCCACGGTGCCAAGTCCAGGGTTTGGCTGGCAGAATGAAAGAAGGACATCTTCCCACTACCTATATAAGTACACGTCTCACCTTCTGTCCTGGGAGCCTGGGTTGTTGCGCTTCAGACAGGTATGACTCATGGAGACCCCATGTGTGCAGAGAAAAGCTGCTCTAGAGGGTCTTCAAGGCTGTGACCTTTCAGAAGCAGATCACAGGGCCTGCCTTCCAAGGCACACCAGGGTTGGTTCCAACAGCCCGCTCTTTGAGGACTTAACCATTTGCACCACCAGAGACTCGGGATAAGCCTGTTGTTTGGTCACGGTCATAACCTCTGTCGCTGCTGGTGGCTCTCTCAATTCCTCCCTCTCCCCAACAGAATCTCAGGAACCCAAAATACATGATTGTTTTACAGTTACAATGAGCTGCATTAACTTACAGACAGCCTTTGCTACCATCCATTCCCAGGCTGTCCGCTCTCTGCCACTGTAATTTACTCTTTGCCCATCCTTCCAAATGGCCTCGGTTAACATGACCGCTTGTCCCCAAGAACACAGTCCCAGACTTCACTGCTGGCGGTGGGAAGGCATCCTTTTACATTGATCATGTTATGTAATACACACATGCCATATACTGTCTTACTAGAACTTGATCATTTTCAAATAACACTTGGTAGAATAAAATGTAGTGGCAGGACTGTAAGTCCAGAAACTGGAAAGATCGGACTTGAAAACTCTTATATTACTATTTTTTAACTTGTTGTTGTCGTTGTTGACTTGGTTCCTACTCTTAGAGACCCTATATAGGGTTTCTGAGGAGCAGCTGGTGGGTTTGAACTTCCAACCTCATGGTCAGCAGTCAAGTTCTGTTCTACAGCGCCATACCAGGACTCCTTAGCTAGCATTAACCAAGTGACTTAACTTCTCTGAATTTTAAAGTTGATTCATCTCTAAAAGGAGGATAAAAGCGGTACAGACCTCATGGAGCTATGGGGCAAATTGAATAAGAATATTTGCAATACACTTAGCACAGTATAGGTGCGTAGACCCATCCCGTGAATACTGACTTCATTATTATTGGTGACGAATTAAGCAAGCTTCACAAATAATTCAATTTTATCTCAGGGATGATCTGATCTTGTGTTCTGGGTTAGCTGCGGCAGGCCTGTATCCTGGAAAGACTACTCGAGTGTCCCAAGAGTGCTTGATTATAGATGACTGGTCGCTACCTTATGAACTAAGCAGTTCATTCACTGCCAGGAGCCACGCAAGTTGGAAGTGCTATTTCCGAACGTAAATTTGGACAGAATTAACAATCACCTGTGACAAGAACATAAGTCCATTTGTTTTCCAGGAAGACATGATTAAGGTTCTATCACTAATACAACACATCCTGAGTATACAACCTTCTTTCTCCAGGGCAAAGTGGAGGTGGAGGTTGGTAAGGAGGGCCTTCGCTTCGAGAATGGAGCCTTCACCTACTACGGGGTCCCAGCCATTATGACCACTGCTTGCTCAGGTATTCTAATGACAAGCCATAGTTTATTGGGGAAACAATGGGCTAGGGTAGAAAAAGTGTCTGGGTTCAAGTCTTGACTCTTCTTTGATCTCATTTGGACCTGGGACAAGCCATTTAACTGCCCGAGCTGTAGTTTCCTCCTCTGCAAAATGGGTATAGAATCACTTGTTGTTCAGAAAGTTTGCTCGTGGAAGCACATGGTTTTGTTGTTAGGTGCCATCAAGTAAGGTTAATTGGTGCTGGGGACAGGGTGGGAGAGGGGTGAGTCCTTTAAGAAGGTGGGTTTTCTATGTTGCCTCTAAAACACACTGCCTCCCTCTGTCTACAGATAACGACGTGCGGAAGGTTGGAAGTCTGGCGGGATCCTCTGTCTTTCGTATGTATCTCGCAAGCCCCTTCCTCGCCCTCCCCACGGTAGTCCCGCCTCAGCCCACTGTGGACCTAGCAGTCTGTGGCAGGGCTGGGGCTACCACAAACGCTGGCAGCCTCTTTGTAACACACTGCCAGGAACTCTGCTTCCTGCCAGGTACCCACAGGTCATGGGGGCTTCATTCCTGTACGTCTGCAATATCCGCTGCTGCTTTGCTGCTTCTATGCAAGTATCAGCAGTGCGGGTGGGCGCCATTCACTGCCACCTGCCAGAGGGTACAGGAAGTGGGTTTTTGTGCTTTGGTCAAGAATCAGCCTTTCTTTCTCTTGTCTGATAATCCAGCAACTGGCCTTGACTTGTGAAAACCATCATATGTCATTACTCTGTGTGGGAGTGGGAGTTGTACTCAGTAAGTGACTGCAGGATCTTGGGTAAATCCCAAGCTGGCCCAGTACACTACTTACCTTTCCTTGTTCACCACCTTTCAGCCAGTGGCAAGGTGTCTGCCAGCTGGTTGTGCATGCTGCTGGTAGGGGCTGCTTTCCTTTGTCCTTTCTGTGCTGTACCTGCTCACTGCTCCCTCTGCAGGATTCTTGCACTTGTGTTTGGGGTGACAGGGGCATGATATTGATTGTGCAATGAGTGTGGTCCCGAAATAATGATTTCTCTAGATTTCTGTTCTTTTGCTGGTGTGACTTTTGCATTGCTTTCGGCTGCTGATGTTTTCAGTAACCATTTTAGTACCAAATGGGGTAAATTTTTTCATCCTAAACAGATTTTACATTGTGCTTTATATTGATATTTATCAGAGGGTTTAAAAAATGTGTTTTCTCAGTCTCTGGCATATGGCAACATAGATTTCCTTTCAACACAGGGAAACGAAAGAAATGAGTTGCTTCCAATCAGCGAGCTAGTTGATGACCTAGAGGCATCCCAGTGTCCTTGCTAGTTCACACTACACAGTGGAATACAGATCCACCATACTCCAGAGTGCAAGTTCTATTTGGGAATTTGGGGACCATTTGTGGTATAATTTCACATCCTAGTCCAAGTATGGGCACACACAGAAAGAATGGAAGAACGTGAGCTGAGGTAGACCTGCAAAATCATAAATCCTGGTACACCATTGTTGTTAAGTGCTGTTGAGTTGGTTCTAACTCATAGTGACCCTTCATAGAGTTTACAAAGACCCACTGGTGGGTTTGAACTACCAGCCTTGTGGTTAGCAGTCCAGTGCTTACCCTTACAGCTCCACACCTAGACTCTTGTGGTATATTATTATCTTAATATAAGCCAACACATCTAACCAAGGTTCATCAGGGCTTTAGACGAAGTAAGTGTCAGTACTCAGTATGGGAACTCGGATGCATGAGGATTTGAGGAAACCTTGGTCCTCTAAAAGAGATTTGCACTACCTGTCACATTCCGCATTTTTGAAGGATTTTCAGGGATCCTTTGGAATGTAGTAACATCTAGGATTCTAATAGAAATGTTGGTTCTGTTCTGCCTCTTTCAGAATACCAAATGAGATGGGAACTGTAAGAAACAGGAGCTACATAAGGCTCCCCCACTCACCCAGCTTAGATGACTTTCTTTCTGTTTTTTGTTTTATTTTAAAAAGTGGAAAAAGAATGTGTTGTATAGTTTCCTCCTTTCCTTCCTTCCTGTCCCTTGTTCTTTTTATCAAAATATTTCCCTTTTATCAATGAGACAGGAGTAAACTTGAAACAGTGATAGCTTTCAGAACTGGACAAGTAGACAGAAGCATTTGACTCTCCTTCTCCATGCTTCAGAGCATCTTTATACATTTTGAGGAAAAAGAAATCTAATTAGCCAGTAAAGATGAAGGGATCGTTTTTGTCTTTACCCTAAGCTCACCCCAGTTAGTATAGAGAAATGTGAAATAGTCATAAAGGTTGGCCATATCAGGTGGACACTAAACTCGGGGTTCAGATATCCAGTGTCCTTCATGGGCCAAGAATCTCAAGCAGGAAGACCTTGAGGCTTGAGCCACAAGGCAGTGAACTCTTGACGCCCGTCTACAGCTGATAAAGCCTTTGAAGGTGAGGATGGAGATGATGAGTTAGTCATCTCACTGGGATTTGAGGTTAAGTCACTCTGGTTTCCCAGTGCAGTTCCTTCTCCTCTTTTCTCTTGGTTCTGGTGGTCCCGTCTCCCAGGAGGACATGGTGGGCCTGTGCGCAAACTCAGAGTAGCTAGAACAGATGCACATGGGGTATGCAGGCAAGGAAACAAGTCTCCTATCTGCCTGGCAATGTGTACATTTAATTCTGCAGCCTACGAAGAACTATGAGGATTCTAAAGACTATGGATTTCCTTACATTAGTGAGTCTTTCAATGTTGGGGGCTCATTGAAATAGTCCTTAACTTCTGATATCAGAGTCAATGATATCAGATAGCTATGAAGCCCTCCTCCCTGCCACTCAGCCCCTGTACATGAGGGTAATTTCAAGTAAAACCAACTGGTTCAAAGGGGAAGAAGCCACTGCTTAGTCCAGTATGTGTCCTCTGCAGACTGGCTTCACTTAGCTCCTTGAGTTCAGGGAACAATCAGATAAGAGAGATGAAGACAGATTCCCTTCCAGAAATATGACTTGATCAAGGCCACGCTGGAAAAAGAGCTGGACTGTTGTTTCTCCACACTCTACCTGACCCAGACCCCATGTGGTAGCCACCACCAGTTTGGTATCGATGAGGGAAAAGAGAGAAAGAAGACAGAAAGAGAGGTACTTTGGGGCATTTGTACTTGCTAAGAAGTGACTAAGGAGCCCTGGTAGCATTGTGTGGCACTGTAGAGTAAGCACTGGACTGCTAACCACAAAGTTGGCAGTTCAAATCCACCAGCCACTCCTTGGAAACTGCATACAGGGTCACTATGAGTCAAAACTGACTTTATGGCCCTTAGCAACAACAAAGAAGTGACTAGAGTTTTATTAACTGAGTTGATTCACAGTACATCTGCTAGCGATGCTGCCTTCCTTTGTCCCAAGCCCTTGGCCAGGCAGGCTCTGTGACCACAGAGGATGCTCCAGGAAGCCGAGCCAGGATGCCCCTAGCAAGAGTGTGCACTTCGTTGCCAGGGCTCCGAATGCCCATGTTGGTACCCCCCTCCCATGGTGTGCAGGACATGTGGGGAGCTGGAGAGCCAGGTGGCAATGCAGTGCTCAGCCACTGGTATGAACAGGCTCCTTGGAGAGGATACTGCCTATCCAGCTAGCTGCCCACTGGGCGTTGCCTCTCAGTCCCTCCAAGGTGACATCTTTTCAGATGCAGTCTCTTTTCTTAACTCTGGAAGATGGCTAGGAAGAGGATGCCTTTCCTGTATTTTCAGAGGCAAAACTCCTTTTGACAGAGAAATGTGATGTTGTGAACTGTAAGCAACAGCCGTCTCACCTGCTTTGCTCTTTGTCTTTCTCCTTTTCTGATTATGTTCCCCTTTGTGCTTCACAAATCCTTGGCCCCTGACTCTTTAGTGCCTGTCTCTGTGTCTCGTACCTTTGCCGTCAGCAGAGGAGACTCTCTGGCAGGCTCCCCAGGTAATCATGTGTGGGTGTCTTGGGTCTCTGTAGAGCCAGAGAGGCTTGCAGAGGCCTTTGGTTTGTGTCGCTGTCCTCATGAGGACCCATCTCTCCCAACAGCCGCCCTGCCCCCCCGTAACTGATGCTCAACAACAACGGTGCAAATAACACATGTTTGCACACACAGCATCATTTGTGAAGCTAGCTGCCAGAAATATATCTGTGTATGAACTTGGGGAAACTGGGGAAGCTGGGAGGGGGTGGAGGGGGAAGGACAAGGGGCATAGTAAACTCCTCCTCATCAGTGTCTACCTGGGGAGTGGAAAGATGATGGATGTAGCAGGAGAGAAACAAGACCCTCCTACCTGGTCTCTAGGCTTAGCTAACCACTAACCCAGCCTCATCTGAGTAATAGGACTGCATGATTAACCTCTCTGGTTCTGCTTATACAAAAGGTAGTCTGTAAACATTTCAAAGTAACTTTTCAGAGTAAATCACTTTTGTCAATTAAATAAAAATGACTGGATTTCGTTTTTAGTGGAGTAAAACAGTTTCTGGAAGAGCTATGCAGTAATTCAGTGATTCAGTGTGATCAATCTGAACAATCAGTTAGCTGTTTATATTGTTTTTGTCTGTAGATGTCAATCTTTTAGGCCCACAAAGCAAATGATAACCAAACTTGCGGATTTATTTTTATCTGTCCTAAAGTTGGGACATAGTCCAGTTTCCCATATGGTACCCTCTACGTCTTTATTCCTTATCCCAGTGCTGGAGAATGATTCTGAGGCCCTGCCGTATCTTCCATGATCAAGAATACAGGTTGTTGATGTTAAGCGCCATCAAGTTGGTTCCAGTTCATAGTTGTTGTTAAGTGTTGTCGAATCGGTTCTGACTCATAGCAACCCTGTATAGGGTTTTTGAGGAGCAGCTGGTAGGTTTGAACTGCTGACCTTGTAGTTTGCAGTCCAGTACTGATCCTACAGCACCACACCAGGAGTCTAGTAAGGCCCGTTAAAGTTAGAACCTGTGTAAGGTGGGGACCTGCCAGAGAAGGAAAATTCAAATGGTCTTCACTAATAGAAAGGTAGTGAGACTGCACCCTGTCAAAGGCAGAAAACTTTTAATCTCAGAAGAGCCACGCAGGCCCGTCATGTTCTGGCTCTTACAGATTTCACCGTGGTTCCCTGTCTGCAGAGCAAACCCTTCAATATTCAGGAGGGCCATGCCCTGAGACCTCAAACCCCCAAATGTGCAACGTCAGAAGTATATATGCTGACTTCTGTTTTCTCCCAAATCACGTTTCTCCATCAAAAACCATCTGGTTCCCATGTCTGTCTATACAAGACAAGTTAACTACCATCTCAGATTTCACAAAAATTTTCTCTCTCACTTAATGGTTTTCCACCACAAAGTGACGTTCTCCTCACTTCCCAAGAACTCCTGCCTTCATGGTGGCCACAGAGCAGC